TTCCTCAGTTTCGCCGCTGGTCAAGCAGAAAGCATGTGTTTTTTTATTTTCTTGTGATAGGAAACCCTATACAAGCCTGGAACCCTTGAGCTTATGTATAAACCCTTTATATATATATACATACATATACATACCGTTTGGAACCATTATATGTATGAAGCCTCACAAGGAAAACTTAGGTCTATGTGTGCATGTATATGTAGGTATATATATATATATAGAAATGTATACATGTATATAAAGGTCTTTCTTTCCGTCGCAGACAAGACATAAAGCCAAGAGTAAATTACTTGCGAGTGTCTTAACCCTAAACCTTAAACCGTGTCTAAACCCTATAAACCCTATATAAACCTTAAAACCTAAACCCGAAACCCTATATAAACCCTAAACCCTAGACCCTTTAATACCAAAAGGAGCACCAGGAGGATGCCGGCTATGCCATCGCCCAGCTCGACCAGGTGTTCCTGCCGGAGATCTGCAGTGGCAAAGTTCTTGCAGCTTCGTGGGCGGAGGACCCCAAGCCGAAGGTGTCGGCAGAAGCTGGGCCTGGAGTGCCGTCAGCTGCCCCTTGGATCAACGTGCCGCTGCCACCACCCCCGGTGTTGCCGTCCTGGCCGGCTTTTCCGCCGCCGCCACCACAGCTGGATGAGGATGTGGAGGATGTGGTGCACTTCGTGCCTTGGTTCCTTCACAGTGAGAATGTTTTCTTGAGTTCTGGTGGACCAACAGTTTTGTCTTTTGTGTGTCCGAACCTCAAGTATATATATATATATACCCTAAACCCTAAACCCTAAACCCTAAAAACCCTAAAAACCCTAAACCCTAAACCCTAAACCCTAAACCCTAACATATGTCAACTTTTTCCGTTTTCTGCGATGGCTTCTCTTTTTAAACCCGACATAAACAAAAAAAACAACAGTTTAATATAACACAAGAAACAACTCAGGATCCCTACGAGATTATCCCCATGGAGGGCGAGGACGAGAGCAAGGAGGTCGAGGGCGAGGCCACCAAGCATCTTACCTGCGAGATCGAGAAACTCCGTGCTGCTGGGCTAGAAGAGGTGCAGGACGACGACGAGGAGCCCAACGATGAGGCCCAGCAGGACGACGAGGCCGAGAAGGACAAGGCCAACGAAGACGGCAGCCAGTCGGAGGAGGAGGAGGAGGGAGAGCAGGAAAGCTCGGAGAAGTCCAAAAAGGAGAAGCACCGGAGACACAGATCGCGAAGGCCCTCTTCGAGCTCGCGAAGCAGGCGAGGCAGCAGGCGGAGCAGACGGAGCAGGCGAAGCAGGAGCAGGCGAAGCAGGCGGCGACGAAGCTCCAGCTCTTCGCGACTGGTCACCTTCCGTGTGAAGCACGGCAAGTACAAGCGGGTACGGTGATCGCCAGCAGCCAAAAAGAGCGAAACCGTTCATCCCTATATAAGCCCCAAACCCAAGCCTTGAACCTTAAACCCTAAAAGCCCTACCCTAAAACCCTAACACCCTAAACCCTAAACCCTAAACCCTTAATCCTAAACCCTAAACCCTAAACCCTAAAACCCTAAACCCTAAACCCTAAACCCTTAATCCTAAACCCGAAACCCTAAACACTATAAACCTAAACCCTGAATCCCCTAAACCCCCTAAACCCATGCATTACCTGCGATGGTCCCCGTTACATGCGATGGTTCCGATTTACATGTGATGCTCCCCATTACATGTGATTTACATGTGATGCTCCCCATTACATGTGATTTACTTGCGATGGTCCCCATCACATATACATATGTACATATATGCATATATGCATATATACATATATACATATATACATATATACATATATACATATATACATATATACATATATACATATATACATATATACATATATACATATATACATATATACATATATACATATATACATATATACATATATGCATATATGCATATGTACATATACATATACATATATATATATATACATATACATATACATACATACATATACACATGTACTTTCGTTTGGGGGGTTGGGGGTTCTATATATACCGTCTAGGGTGTTTCATGGTTTAAATTTAGTGTTTCGGGTTTAGGGGTTTCCGGTGGTCTAGGAGTCTAGGGCCTAGGTTTCAGGGTTTAGTGATACACATTTTGGATTTTTTTCGTTATTTTTTTTTAAAAAAATTTGCATTTTTTTAAAAAATCATATGAATTTCTTATGAATTCTTTATGCGGTTCTTGTGTTGTTTTTATGTTGTTTTATAAACTTCATAAGAAACGCATAAAAAATGCATAGGTTCTATGTGTTTTTTATGAAGTTTTATAAACGACATAAAAACAACATAAAAAACGCATAAAGAATTCATAAGAAATTCATATTAAAACAACAAAAAAATAACAAAAAAAAGAAAATAAAATCAAAAAGAAACGATTATTTTTTATAAAAAGGTTCGGGCATAGTGGTGTGCACTGACAAATTCTCTGGGCCCCGAGCCCTAAACCAGGCTCGAAAGTTTTACATGTGACTGGTAGTTTTACATGTGAGACCACAAGCTTTTCCTTCGAGCACTCACGATGTTATACTGAAACCCGGAACACTTTATCTAAAAGATTCTGTGGTGTTTGTGCGCTTTTGTAGAGCATGGGTAGTTTTACATGTGAGAGCGCAAGCTTTTCCTTTTGGCACGCAGTTGCTTCATGACCACAGCACTGTGTGCTCCATTTGAAGTGATTGCTTTTGTGTGTTCGTGAAGAACACATGTCGGACGAGGAGCCGGCAATGCCTGTGCCGACGGATGTCGAAGTCGAGGAAGTCCCACCACAGCCTCGGAAGAAACCAGCCGCCAAAGCAGCGAAGACCGATGTCGATGCCGAGGAAGACCCACAGCCTCAGAAGAAACCAGCCGCCAAAGAGCCAGCAGCGAAGACCACGGCGAAGCCCAAGAAGAATGCGGAGGCAAAGATGAAGGACAAGGTCCAGCCCAAACAGATAGCCAAGGCCAAAGCAAAGAACCTGGTTCTCAAGAAGCCCTCTGCAGCTCCACAAAGCCAGAAGCGAACAGCCGACGACGACAAGGGCAAGGGTACCTCTGAGAAGAGCAAGAACAAGGGTACCTCTGACAAGAGCAAGAGTACCTCTGACAAGAAGAGCAAGGTGATTTCCTCATGGGCCACACCCTTGTTTGCCGAGAAGGAAGATGCCGAGGAAGAGGGCGGCGAAGAGGAGGAGGCAGAGGTCGACGAAGAGATCGATGTGTTCAACACGGACCCCGAGACCCAGACGAAGAAAGACCGAGCGAAAGATTTTAAATTTAAGCAGATGTACCAGAACAACCAGTTGCCCGACTGGCTCGCGGCAAAATACCGCGAAACGCTCTCCATGAAGGTGGGGCGTGTGGAGCAGCAGCGAAAGCTCGTGAACATGTGCCTCGATCGCACAAAGGATCAGAAGCTGGTCGTGAACCTGAACAAGCCGATGTTCAAGGAGATGCAAGAGACCTGGACGAAGATCCAGTCCAAGAAAGCAACAAAGACCTTATCCAAAACACTCTTCTGTGGTAAGTTCAACCTCACAGAGGATGCTTTCCAAGCCGGGCTCCAGGCGGGAGAGTTTTACGAAGTGACCGACGAGAATGGCACGTGCAAGTACGGGTGGGATACGGCCGAGCACAGTGAGACAAAAGCCAAGAAGGCTGCCAGTGTAACCGAGACAGCCGGCAAAATTAGCAAGGAGCAGCAGGGCTTGGTGGCAGCTGTTGCCGACAAGTGGAGCATCGGGTTGTTTCGGAAGGCCAGCAGTTCCCCCAAGGCCACAGCCTCCAGCAGCAGCGAGAAGAAGGTGCCCTTGGCTATCATGGACCAGCAGCCCCAGTCTCTCTCGTCGAAGGATTGGGAGATGGCCAAGCAGCAACTGCACATGGCGCAGAAAGCCTTCGAGCAGATCAAGAACTCGGCACAGAAGCTGCTGACAGGATTGACCAAGGAGGACAAGTTTTACGATCAGGCGAGCCCTTGCTGTTTTAGTTTTATTTACACTTACACGAGACCAGCTTTGCTCTGCTTTTTGCTTTGTTTTGCGAAAACGAGTAAAACCCCACACCCCATCTAATTGTTTGGGGGGGGGGGGTTAGGGTTTAGGGTTTAGGGTTGAGGGTTTAGGGTTTAGGGTCTAGGGTTTAGGGTTTAGGGTCTAGGGTTGAGGGTTGAGGGTTTAGGGTTTAGGGTTTAGGGTGTAAGGTTTAGGGTTTCGGGTTTAGGTTGAAAATTTAAAGTCCGAACCCGGTATTTGTCTCTGTGTTATCCCACAACCTCGCAACGATTTACGCCCCAACCCCAACAGAACAGCAGCCCCGAGCCACGACGACACACTATAAGGAAGATCATCGTCCAGGCGGCCACGAGCGAGAAGGTCAAGATTGATCACATCCATACATGGCAGGCCTATAAGCATTTGTATTTCTGATATGTGAGAAAGAGACTGCATGTTTTGTATAAGGAACAAAGCACACACACAAATAGGAGCTACCGGATGGCTCAGAGATCACGACCCTGAAGTACGATGAAATGATGCTGGAGTTTGGCACAAAGGCCGAGCAACTTGAAGAGCAATTCGCTGCTGTCAAGGCACAGCACTCTGTCGTCAGTGCTCGCAAAGCCTAGGAGTGGAGCCTGCCCAGATTTTGATGGTGTGTGCGGTTTTTGCATTCGCTTGCACACAGGGATTTTGGATCTCCAGAACTATATAGGCGACTGTGCTAGAGAAAGCCGTGCAAAAGACATGTCTTTGTGCAACCCTAAACCCTAAACCTTAAAAACATAAGCCTATATACCCTATATAAACCCTAAACCCTAAACCTGTAGTTATGTTTCATGTGGGAGCTTTGGAAGTTTGTTTTCTTCAGAATTACATCTTGAGAGTTTCATGTTTTGTGTGATATACAGCAAGAAAACCGTTTCCTTTCGAGATCTTTTCCTTTCGAGATCATTTTGCAACATCTTCTTGTACGATAACATGGATGATGCCGGCCCCGCGAGAAAACGACGAAAAGGTGGCATTCAACAACGACAGAGCCAGGCTGAGGCTTCAAAGACAAGCATCAGTGCTCTGCATGATCTGCTGATGACATACCTCGCACAGGGCCTTATGTCGGCTGCAGTGTGTCATGCAATTGCAACAGCAGCTGTTGCCGATATGGGCCTCTCTCGCGAAGGTACCGTGTTTCCTGATTTGGAGAAGCTGGCCAAGATCAAGCATGGTAAGAACCTGCAAAAGTCGATCGACGGCCTGCTGGCCAAACAAGCCGACCTTCCCACACCCAAAGAGTTCGACATCCCTCTTGCGGGACAGGTGCCAGGCCAGCCCACGTCATTGCTTCTGCTGCCCCACGAAATGATGGCCCATATGTTTTCCAATGGCACAGGGTGGGTTACCTCCGTGCTGCCGGACCCGAGCCGGTTGGCTGCCTTCTGGGATTGTTTCCGGAAGCATCCCTGCATGGAGGGCCACCCTCTGCTTTCCCACCCCCAGTACAGGAACCGGTGCATTCCATTGGCCATGCACGGCGACGAGGTTCCTGTGCTGGGGGTGGGGAAGATATGGTGCCGCTCGGCACTGGCATTTTCCTGGAATTCCCTCATGGCCACTTTTGCAGGACGCTCTGTGCAGGACACCAACCTGTACATATGGGGGTGCTTCGAAAAATTCATTGTTGGTGACGACGAGGATGCTCCTGGCACAATGGCCACGTTCTGGAAGATACTCGCATGGTCTTTTGGGATCATATATGAGGGGGTGTGGCCTACGAAAGATTGGGAGGGCACTCCGAAACTCGACTTGCTTGTCATATGTAGGTTTTGTTTTTCTTTGTGAAGGGTTTTGTGTTTGGGTTTCCGCATGTAAAAGCTATACACACATATATGTATATATATATATATAGCAGTTTCATTTTTCACTTTTCCTGTATACAAACAGGTATGCCCCGGGCAGTGCAGAAGCAGCAAAAGCAGGGACTTTGCTTTGTGGCGGTTACTTTGGAGCCTTGGTTCAGTTGGCAGGCGACCTCGACTACTATGCCAAATGGCTGCAAGTGCCGAAGTGGAACAACCATGAGAAACCCTGTTGCCTCTGCCGAGCAAGTTTCAAAGGGCCCTTAAGCTGGATGGACAACAGAGAGAGCTCACCGTGGCAAAGCGCCGGCCTCAAGCCCAGCAACTGGAAGACACACTGGGATTCGGCTTGTGCCTTATTCCAATTGCCGGGCTTCAATGGGCTGTGTCTTTCTATGGACTATATGCATTGCATGTTTCTTGGATGGTTGCAGTATGCATATGGCTCCGTGCTCTCTCTCGTTTTCTCGGATTGCTTGGAAGGCACAGAGGCTGAAAGGCTGAAGCATATCGATTCTTTCATCAAGAATTACCAGCGAGAACATGGCACCAGATACAAGTTCAAGCAAAAGCTCCTCAAACTTACGATGATACAGCCCAAGAAAGGTTTCCCAAAGATTCGTGGCAGGGCATCGGATGTGCAAAGCTTGGACACTGCCCTTCTAGCATTTTTTCAGCAGGAGATGGACGAAGAGAACTACCAGCACAAGCAGATTCTGCTCTTTCTCCGTTTGAATTGTCGTTTGTCTGAGAAGTTAGACACGTTTTCGCCAAGGCATGGGTACCTGGCTTTGCCTGAGCAGGAAGCACGGCAGGCTCTGCTCTGCGGCCTGCAGATGGCACAGCTCCACATCAGCTTGCAGCAGCACTACAAAGCTGCAGGGAGGCACTTATTTAACCTCACAAGCAAGACACACTTTGCTTTGCACAGCCTGTCGCTCAGTGGCTGCATTCATCCAGCAATGGTCTGGTGCTTCAAGGGCGAGTCCACCATGCATCGGGTTCAGACCCTTTGGAAGAGTTGCCTGCCTGGTGTCAAGCATTGGCAGGTCGCCAGGAAGGCTGCCCTCAAGGAGCGGCACCTTCTGTGGCTGAGGGGCAAGGTCGGGTGAACTTTTGTCTGTGCGAGGGCCAAAAAAAATTGTTCCTGTTGTTTACATGTGAGGTTTCTATGTGAGAGAGAGCCGGCCCATGCCCCAAAACGGAGAAAGAGCTAGCCGGTTGATGAGAGACGTTTTACTTTGCGAGTTCTGTGCCTCTCATATTTACATATAAAGTGTCAGAGAGACAAAAAAGTACTTCGATGTGATCATGCCTTGTTTTGGACCTGGGGAAAGCGATTATATTGTCTCACAGGAAACTCACAAGCAAATTATAGTCCGTAGTTATATCCTGAGTGTTGTCTCGCAAGTAAACGAATGTTATCACAAGTAAACACACAAACAAATGAGTCCGTAGTTTCTGTCTCGCAAGTAATTCTGTCTCGCAAGTAGTTCTGTCTCGCAAGTAATATAGGGTTTAGGGTTTAGGGTTTAGGGTTTAAGGTTTATAGGGTTTAGGGTTTATGGCTTAGGGTTTAGGCATGTTCCCACTTTTTACTCACGACGGCGGACGAAGCTTGCCAAGTGCTGCCAGTATAAAGGCTGTGCTTTTGTACATAGAGCACAGGGGCGACTGACAGATCTCTTATTTTGATGCCCGTGGTGGGCAAAACATGCACAAAAAAGCCGCACAGCTGTGCATCACTGCTCGTCGGGCACCCGCTTGAACCAAACCCAGTACCTTTGTTGTCATCCAGCTCTCATGTAAAAAAGAACATATATATATATATGTATATTATACATCTCTTTTTATCTTTTTCAAGCTAAGTTGCCAGATGACCAAGCCAGTCAGCGGATCCTCCCACTTTTTCCAGCACCACACCCACTTCCTTTCTGTTACACACGTCTAGACTGCACACAAGTAAACCGCTCTATTGTGTATTCATAGATCTATGACTCACGAAAATTTTTTCCATGTCAGCTCCAAGATTCATCTGCCTGGGTGAACGACTGCGATCTCGCCGACCGCTTTCCATGGTGTGGCTCTGGCGAGACAAGTGAAGCTGTAGCAATGGCAGGCTGGGGCCGATATACACCGCAAGAAAAACTGAACCTCTCACATGCACAACAAGCCTCGCAGAAAACAATACCCACAGAGTCTCACATGTAAAACGATACACTTTCATCGCAAGCAAGTTCGGCTCTTTCTCGTTTGGAACAGCCCTGAGAAAAAGTGGTTTGAGGTTGGAAAAAATCCTCGCAGGTAAGCATTTTGTCATGAAGTTTCATGTTTTCGAAAGTATTTCAGTTTTTTGGCACAAAATTCATTAAGCATTTTGTATGAAGTTTTGACGCGTTTTTTATGAAGTTTTGACGCGTTTTTTATGAAGTTTTGGTGTTCGGAGAAAATTTACGTTTAGTCGGAAATTTAGGTTTTTCGTAACTAAAAAACTCCATTTACGTAAATCCAACCGAAACCTGAATTCACGTATTCTGGAGACTCAGGGTAAGATTTCGGGCTCAATTTTTGCTCCAAAGAGTCAAATAGCAAGCCCTGGTCCCAAAGATTTTGGGTTCAATTTTTGCTTCAAAGAGTCAAATCGCAAGACCTGGTCCCTGAGATTTTGGGTTCAATTTTTGCTCCAGTCAAATCCTTTTTTTTGCCTTAGATAGGCGGGTCTGTGAAGGTGCAAGATTGCGCCTAATGAGCAACTTGGTGAAAATCCTTCTGTTAGATGCCAAAAATCACAAAAACTAGCAATTTTGTGAAAATCCTTGTGTTTTGGCCTTAGATTGGTGTCTGTGAAGGCGCAAAATTGCCCACAAAAATGAGCAATTTGGTGAAAATGCTCATGTTTTGTCCTTAGATAGGGGTCCGTCAAGGCGCCACATCGCAAACAATCACGAAAATATGTTTTGGCCTTAGGTAGGGGTTCGTCAAGGCGCCACGTTGCAAACAAATCACCTAAATAAGCCGGTGAAGGCGCAAAATTACCAAAAGTCGCAATCTGGTAACATCCTTATGTTTTGGCCTTAGCTGGGGGTGGGCGCAGGCGCAAAATTACAAAAAGCACCAAAAGCAGCAGTTTGATGGAAATCCTTATGTTTTGGCCTTGGATAGGGGTCCGTCAAGGCGCCACATTGCAAAAAACAACCAAACTCAGGAAAATCACAAAAATCAGCAATTTGATGAAAATCCTTTTGTTTTGGCCTTAGCTCAGGGTCGGTGAACGCGCAAAATTGCAAAAAATCACAAAAAATTGAAAATCCGGATGTTTTTGCCTTACCTGGGGGTCTGTGAAGGTGCAAAATTGCCAAAAATCGCCCAAATGAACAATTTGGCGAAAACACCTATGTTTTTGGCTTTAGCTGGGGTCCGTGCAAGACGCAAAATCATCAACATCAGCAATTTGGTGAAAACCCTTTTGTTTTTGGCCTTCATTGGGGGTCCGTGAAGGTGCAAAATTGGAAAAAGTCACCGCAATGAGCAATTTGGTGAAAATCCTTATGTTAAGTTGGGGTACCTGAAGGAGCAAAAAAGGGGAAAAAATCCAACAAAATTAGCAATTTGGTGAAAACCCTTATGTTTTGGTCTGAGATGGAGCTGTGTAAAGGGTCCTTCCGAGTCCTTGCTCAGAAGACTTGTTCCTTTTCAATCTTCAAGGGTTTTAAAGAATGTAAGAGATTTTTTCTAATTTTAAGGGGCCTCTGTGGCATATTCGTTAAGTATCAACAATCTTCTTCTGAAAGAACCCTCCGAGTTTTATCTCCTGAAAAGAGGAAAAGGAAAATGCTAAGCGAAGCGTTCACTCATTGTTTTCCCCTAAATCCGATCTGAATTCACTAGATCTTCAGCGAATATGGTTTGGAATAGGGTTAGGCTTAAGCTTCAGCCATAAGGTTCGCGATTCTCCCCCCTTTCCCGCAACCTCGTCGTGCCCAGGTGCGTGGTTTAAGAATCTAGAATTAATAAACCTCAGTGTCCGGCGCAAAACCTTAAACAACTAAGGCTCATGCGTGCGTTTTGGTCTTAAACGTTAAAGGAATAGGTTTAGGAATAAGGCTATGTCCCAAAACTAAATAAGAAGCATGTGTAAATCTTGGAATTTACCCTAAGCCTTCGTCGAATACGCTCAAATCTAAACCTTAAACGAGAAGGGTTTATGAGATATGTGTTTGTGAGTATTGGGGATGATGTGTGTGTGAGAAATGAGAATTGTTCTGGGTGACCCTTTGGGAAACATTGAAATGACAACCCATGTACTTGCGAGCAAGTTGGGCTTGTGGGAAGGCCCAGAACCCAGATACTTGCTCACAATATTCTCGCTGGATCGGGGTTACATACAAAAACCCAATGCCCTCAAATCCTAGTCTTACGGTTTGAGGATTCCCGCCCTTTCCTCTCCATCTCTCTATGTGATATACAATACATATACGATACATACCTACAAGATGTGGGTAGAAATTCTAGCTGCTCCTCGTCGAAAGGAAAAAAGAAAATATCTGGACAGACTTGAAGAGAGAAGAGAACGATGGAACAGCAATGAGAAGCAAGAAGGATAGCCAAAACAGTCGATATCATGTTCCCTTCATCGTTTGTTCTTTTGTCTTCGGTTTGAGAGGAGCACGTAAAGAAGAGAAAAGAAGAGAAGAGATGGAGACTGAGGGGAGGGGAGTTTCTTCCTCCTCTTACCTATCAGTTTCTCAATAAGATAAGAGAGAAGGGCTCTTGTCCATTCTTTGTTGTTTGCCCCCTGCAGTCTCTTCCTCTCTCGCTGAACGAGAAAAGAAAAGAGCAAGGGCCAGCAAGGGCAACGAAAAGAGACAAGAAAAACTCCTTCCTCCTTTTTTAGCAGTTCCCTTGAATTTCCTAAACGCAAAAGAACAGAAGACCTGGGAACGCAGGAGAGAAAGAAAGCAAAAGAGAGGGTGTAAGGGCTCTCAGCCCTGCTCTACGGGGGGGGGGGGGCTCCCTTCTTGCCAGGAACAAAGCAATCCACCCTGCCCTCTTTCCCGCCCATTAACTTCTCTTTTCCTTGTCCTCTTGTGTATTCATTTGTCACGTACAAGAGAACAAAGAAGAGAGAAGAGAGAGGAGGCTGTATTCTTGCATGTTCAGCTTTTCTGCTGTAAGAAAAGCGCTAAAGGAGTGGGACAAGAGTGAAACTGGCACCTTGTATATGTATTTGTCTTTCTGTAACGATAGACTACAGAACAGGGATAAGAGGGGAGAAGGAATTTCTTCGCCCTGTTGTATGCCCAAAAAGAGCAAAGGGAAGACTTGCTCCCCAAACAGTCTACTGTTGTTTTCACCCCACATTCTGCAGCGAAGCAAAGAATCTCTCTTTCCATCTCGTCTTATCCATCTGCTTCTCGTCTCGAAGAAAGGGACAAAGAAGAGAGAGAGAGAGAGAGAGAGAGAGAGAGAGAGAGAGAGAGAGAGAGAGAGAGGAGAGCTGAGAGCTGAGAGCTGAGAGCTGAGAGCTGAGAGCTGAGAGCTGAGAGCTGAGAGCTGAGAGCTGAGAGCTGAGAGCTGAGAGCTGAGAGCTGAGAGCTGAGAGCTGAGAGCTGAGAGCTGAGAGCTGAGAGCTGAGAGCTGAGAGCTGAGAGCAGAGAGCAGAGAGCAGAGAGCAGAGAGCAGAGAGCAGAGAGCAGAGAGCAGAGAGCAGAGAGCAGAGAGCAGAGAGCAGAGAGCAGAGAGAAGAGAGAAGAGAGAAGAGAGAAGAGAGAAGAGAGAAGAGAGAAGAGAGAAGGGAGAAGGGAGAAGGGAGAAAAGGAAGGATAAAGGTAGGAGATGATTTTTCCTTGCGTGTTCATGTTGCTACTCTGCATGAAGAGAGCTGAACAAGATCGAGAAGCGAGGAGCGGGAGTTTCTTCTTCTTCCTCTTATGTATCCGTTGTTTTTTCAAGCATTCCTACTGTTTCGCTTCTACTGTGTCTTCCTCTCTCGCTGACTGAGACAAGATTCTTAAGATCAAGGACAGCGAAAGGGACAGGTAAACCTTTGTCGCCTATCTTTTCTGTCCCTTTGAATCTCCTCAAACCATGAACAGAAGACATAGGCACGCAG